GATGGCTGCTGTCCATTTTGGCACTTGCTGCGCTAAATAGAAGTTCCTCCGGGTGTGCCAGCCTTTTAGAGACGCTTACCAGACCGTCTATAAATATTTCTGGTTGGGGACTCGGATTGAATCTGGCTGTGATCGTCGTCCTATCTGCGACGTTAAATAATTCCTGCAGAGATGGGGGCGCTCTATAAATTCCTCCTGATCAGCCAGATCAACCGGGTGCAAGGCTCGTTTCCGTACGAGGGTAAATAAGAGTGGACTGGCTGGCTTGCTCGGTGACAACTTGGGCACAGGAGTGGGCCTAGAATTACCCACGTAGACACCGCTGCTCAAGGATGCTCTTTGGAACTTGCTGCTGTTCCTGTGATGGAACAGGTTGCTGTGGCGGTGATTGAGTAGCTGTCACCGCCTGACTAGAAGAAGAAGAAGCTACAGTCTGTGCTGCTGCTGCCGACGAACCGCTTGGTTGTGTGTCAGCTTCGGGATAAATGCCTATAACTGCCATCTTAGGGAGTGGCGATTTATAAACTGCGAGCAGCCTAGAGCTTAGCTGCTGCAACTGAGTCAACGTCTAATCCAAGGTATCTTGCATGAAGTCCTCTTTGCTGACTACGCGTGCGTGTAGTGTGAGCAAACTAGACCTCAACACCTTCATTGGGTCAAACATCACTGCCTCGTCTGTTGCCTCTAACGCAGTTTTGTTGGCCTCTACCCTCTCCAACCTGACTTTCCTATCTCTCTTTCTCTCTGTGGCTTCCTGAAGTTCCCTCACTAGCCGTGCATGGATCCTTTCGACTTGCTGGAGTTCCCTCAACTCCCGCTGGCGTGGGGTCAACGGGCTTAACTGCGAGCCCACCATTTGACTGGTGGAGACAATAGAAACTACGGTACTAGAGATGCCCGGGGACCATGTGAGCATTCCCAACTGTGTCCCAGACGAGTTCCCAGATGAGAGGGCAGCATTGGATGCTGCTGCGGTAGCCATTCAGCTGCGGCGGCCTGTCTAGGTGCTACGTTAGCTGCTGCTGCCAGCTGTGCAACTTCACTTGCTGCTCTCTCGACTGCTGCTCGTGCACGAGCTCTTTCTCCAGCCCTAAGCCGTCGCTTGACTTCCGTACCTAGAATCTAGAACACGAACGGAACTCTTCTTTAGTTCCGACCGTGAGTCTCTCATCGTCAACTCTACCCTCATCGCTGTCTGACCCACTCAAGAGCTAGGCAAGCATTATCTGCACTACAACCCCCTAGTGGAGTCCTACCACAGCATGTGTCTGACCGGCACCTAATTTTCTAAAAATAAATGTGTCCGGCAGGTATCTTCACCACGGTCAAGCGATCGTCGAACAATATTCACAGAGACTGTACACATAATCTAACCCTAACATTGATTAGTTCACTTACAGCAGGCGGTATAAAAAGGCTAAGGCGGGTGGCCGAGGGAAGGGCCATCAAAAGAGTCAAGGGCAGGCCGTCTCCAATCAGTTCAAAGTTGATGATTGGGTTAAGGCTGGCTTAGATTAGTGTAGCGTGACCGCCTGGAGCTTGCATTAACTAGGTGAAAATGAGCACACCCAGCCTAAGTGCAAGAAAGCGAAGGTCACGCAGGAGATACCTTAAGTGAGGGGTGCCTTCTTCCCAGGCTTTTAGCTAGGGAAACACGTGAGGCCGGTGGAAGTTTTAGCTGCTTCTACTCGTGGTGAAGTGGGAAATACCCTCCCTACTTCATGAGTTGGCCAAGGCTAACGACTCTTTAGTCATCCCGCAGACTCATCTAGACCAAAATGTGCTTTGTACATTAGATGTGTCTGAGGCCTTAGAGGATTCACAGAGAGTGGTCAGACAGGGACCCTAGAGAATCCTGGGTGGCACAAAGTAGTGGTCCTAGATTGTGTGGAAGTTGGTGTAGGAGGCCGCAAATGTGGAGCCTTCATTGACATCGGCTCCACGCAGCACTACATATGCCCTGACTGTTTGGAAAGGCTGCGCCTATAGGACCAGGTACAGCACCTTAGTAGAATGGTAGCATCTACTTTGGCCAACGATAAGCGCTTAGTAGTGAGAGAAAGACTATGTCAAGGACGTAGTCTGGACCTTCTCTTTTGGAGGAGTGGAACTTAATCATAGGATTTTGTTCCAGATTAGTGACGAGTTGTCATTCGACATGTTGTTAGGATGTACTACCTTGAGGTTGTCAAGCCCCAGTTGGACTGGGACAAGAAAGTGCTGAAGCATGCGTTGCCTGATAGGAGAACCATTAGACTAGCTAAGTGGAAGGCTAGTAGGTTGTTTGAGTCCTATGCGTACTTATGAACAACAACATTCTATAATACTATAAAACCAAGAGGAGGGTATGTACTTATTTTACATCGTTGCTAAGTTCCTTGATCTGTTCAAGAAGCCCACAGGAGTCGTTAAAAGGGAGATAGACCACACCCTAGAAATAATTCCAGGGAGTAAAACCCCAGA